GCTGCAGATTATCCAAGACAAGGGGTTTGGTCATTCTTTTACTATGAATAAAGTTGTGATATATTCTATATGAGTTAGGGTTTTTAGGGATGATGGATTCTTGATGCCATGGTTGTTGTGATGATGAAACATGAATGGGTATTAGTTAGGATGAAATAAGAACCATGAAATGTGAGTTTTGGTGGAAACCCCATTTGTACCCTATTTTGCAAAACCATAGAAATGAGGAAATGATGGCATGAGATGAATGGAATTGATTGGTGTTTTGATGTGGTATTGATCCTATTGTATGCCTTAGATCATTGCTATATGGTAGGAATTCGATTTAGATGGTTTTAGGATGTTTGGGGATGATTAGGAATGGGTTGGGGTGATTTTGGGAAGCATAAAAACGTGAAATATGGTGTTGCAGAGTCATCAACACGGGCCGTGTTGATGCACACGGGCACCCGTGTTGATCTTCTGTGTTGATGCTCGGGTAGGTTTTTCTCAAAAATCGTTTCGGCCATAACTTTTGAACCGTAACTCCAATTTAGGCGCCGTTTGATGCGTTGGAAAGCTGGTGAAATTTTCTATATGATTATGAGGAATTAAGTAGCTTTAAGAGCTTATTTTAATAAGTGATTATTGGAGAAAGTATTTATGTTTATAAGTGAATTTGATTGTTATGTATTTTAGTGAAGTGTTTGGAGATATTTGGGATTGGAGCTCTGAAGAACGATGAACAATCACTCAAGAGTTCAAAGCTGCAATTTGATAAGGTAAGGGGGGCTACTACTCGATTTACTTTTGCTTATGGGTTTAGGTACGATTGATTTTGGATAATCGTAGGGAGAAACCCCAATTTTTAGATGTTCTTAGGGATCAATAACCTTAGGGTTGAACCTTGTTAGAAAAGGTTTAGGTTCCAAAATTTTATAATTCAATTAAGGATTTTAGGTTCCTATGGTGGATTTGGAGTATATTTGTATGATCGAGAGTTTCCCTTAGGTAATTCTAGGGATAACCTCAATGTTGTTAGGATTTCCCTAAAGGACGGGTAATATGTAACTTAAGGTCAATTTTATAAAACTTGTTGTTGATGAAAGAATTGTTGATAAAATAGGATGTTTTGAGACGAAAATTCTGAGTTGTGTATGATTTGAAAAATAAGACCTTAAGTGAAGTAATGTTGTCCTTAAGATTGGAAATTGACTAACGTAGAAGGGAATTGTGTTTCTAATTGATGTGTTGCTTTGATTTATGCAAAATTGATGTTGTTATGTACCAAAATGCACGTTTTGGCTGGTATTTTTCGTGTTTGGCTGTTGTTCTGAGCATGTTGCAGGTACAGGAAAATGTTGTACGCGCTCATCAACACGGGCCGTGTTGCTGCACACGGGCACCCGTGTTGATCTTCTGTACTGGTGAAAATAATGTGTTTCTGGACACATTTCCACACGGGCAGTGTTGCTGCACACGGGCACCCGTGTTGAAGCTCCTGTGTTGGCTTCTGAATTCTGTTTTCTGTGTATGCTGTTATGTACGGAATTGATTCTGTTTTGATGTGCAGTGTTTTATATGTTTTGAATATGCTGCTTATTGATTCCCTAGTGTTGTTTGATGCTTGTATCGAATAACGTTTGTATGTTACGATACCAACACTACGTGGATGTTATTGTCACGCTTTGAGATGATGTTATCAAGCATGAATTATGATATAACTTGATATGATTGGTTGATGTTTAATAGTATGCTGAGTGATTACATGCTATCCATATCCTGTTATGATCGATGTTGTTGATGTTGCATGATATGTTTTATTGATGTTAATAGTATGCTGAGTGTTACATACTTTACATATCATGTTGCATTTGTTAATTCCCATTGTGTGGAATTAACATGGTGGCCAACATACGTGTCCGCGATTTAATGGAACGTTGAGGTGGTAGCCGTGTCCGTGATATAATGGAACGGTGAGTTGTTCGTGACCCGAGATATAATGGGGCAGTAAAATGGTACCACATGCATGGGTGTGTTGCATTATATTGAATATAACATGAATGGATGATTTTCCAATGTTGTATTTAATTGATTGTATGCATGTATTGTTGCTGAATTGTTAATGATGTACGATGTTAATTATAAGTATGAAAAGTAATATATTATGAATATATGAATTCTAAAGGTTTTCGTAAACTATGAAACATGCTAACTGTTTGGGTGATGCTTATGATTTTTCTGAATTGATTGTTATGAACGTATAATCAAATGTATAGTTGAGATGCTCACCCTTACTGTTGAACATTTCAGATTGAGGAGCTTCGCTCAGATGCTTGGCGAAGACTTGCTGTTTCTAGTTTATTTCGGTTTAAGTATTGTCCGGGTCATGCTCTGATAGTTGTAACTCCGGGAACGTTTGTTTGTCGAGCTGCTTTAGTCAGACTCGTTTATTTTCCTTAGTATGTGGTTATAATATGATGTTGATATATTCCAGGTGTTAATCCCTGATGATTGAAAATATTATAACTTTGATTTTATTAATTATATTATTCCGCTGTGTAAACATGTATGAGTTGCTTCTATGTTATGCATGACAGGAACTTGTTTTTATTAAAAGAGAATTGTGACATCCTCGTTAATACATGTACTCTGAAAACATGATTTTAATTATTTGTGAAATTTTATGCGGGATTTTAGAGGGTGTTACAGACTCTACTCTTTATGCAAAAAAAAATCATTTCCTCCCACCAATTACATTTGCCTCCTTTAAAGGATTTGTTTTATTTAATTATTATTTTTATATTAAAAAGAAGTACTTTAATAGCGCTTTTAAATTTCAATTAAATAAAATCGTATACAATATGGCGTAGTTAATAACGCTTCTAAGGGTTATCAAAAACAAAAGAAAGTTCTATTAAATAGCTTTTATTGTGTATTATTTATTTTCCTATGTTCTCTTTCTGAGTTGGTTTACCCTTTTAAACAGTAGAGATCCCTTGTCTTTGTCTTTATCAAAGTCTTCATAAGAGGAGCATACGCCTAATTAGTAATTTTCCTCCATTTTATTTCAAAAGTATTTAGCACGAATAAAACTAAAGTTCATGAGTGAAGGTGAGCATTCGAACGATAACCTATACAACATTTGTCCTAGAACTAAGAACAAAGGGACATACATTTAATCATTCCTTCTTCACTACTTAGTGCATGTGTCTTTCGAGTGCATATGTTATGAAAATATTTTTAAAATGGATTGATTTCGAGAAAAATATTTGGTGTTGACCAAGCGTTTATTTGGACCGATGCTACTGTTTGGGCGAAAATTTCATTTCCTCCCACCAATTTCGTTTTCCTCCTTTTTATTTATTGTCTTAATTAATTCTTATTTTCTTATATTAGCGACGGTTCAGGCCGACGTTACTGTTTATGCAAAAAAATTCATTTCCTCCCACCAATTACATTTGCCTCCTTTAAAGGTTTTGTTTTATTTAATTATTATTTTTATATTAAAAACAAGTACTTTAATAGCGCTTTTAAATTGCAATTAAAAAAAATCGTTAAGTCTTCTAAAACTTTTCTTCAATACAAATTTCGAATTTTCTAAATTAAATGATTTTTGGTGTTATGAATAAAAGATAATCCTCCAAAATCCTCCCAACCAAAATTCTACTATTCTTTTCATTCAATCCTTCTTTTCTTTTTTTAAATCTCCTCTCATTTCTCCTCCAAACTCCCAAACAGCCCATAAGGTTACTAGAAACTTTTTTCCAGCAACATCCAACGTAAGATATATTGAGTTGGAAGGTTATATCTACTCTTTGAATTTTGAAGTCTTTAAAAATCCTCAATGGTGCAATCTATTTTTGAGTTTTTGATGGGATCCATTAAATCATATCATCTTGAAGTAACTCATCTAATTTTCATTTCAATGGTATAACTCTAAAGAATTTATATTGAATTTCATAATTTTACTTTATATATTAATTCATGAAATTGAACATAGATTGTTGAAAATTATATTGATCATGATCCATTTGACTTAAATAATATTAATTTTGAAGTAAAATGACGAAAATTTAGATAAAATATATTGTCAAATAAAAGCTAATGAGAAGAAATTATAAATGAAAAATTTAAAAATGAAAAGTAAAATAATGACATTGTGAAACAGAAATTCAAAATTTAAGAGCAAATAAAAATATGGAGAAAAAAATATGTGTAAAATGTTTTTAAAAAGGAGTATTTATGATAAACTAATGTGTTAAAGAAAAAAGAAGAAAAAAAATAGAACTAGCAGATGCGGCCAATTTTTTGTTTTATTAATATTTTACTCGCCAATTTTTTGTTTTATTAATATTTTACTCTACGGGACAGTTGCAATGCATTTAGACGGTGTTCCATGCTGGTCAACTCCAACAGCATCTAATTTGCCAAACCCGTTTGCCACGTGCTGGCGGAAAGGTTGAAAAATTCTCTTTGGAGTTACTCTTACAAATGTAACATTTCTTATCATAAAAATAAACAATCACATATCTTTTAATCTAGAGTTAAAAGATAGTATATTAATAGTATAAAATAATTTTACATTATCGTCTAATAAAAACGCATCATATAAAATGATACTAGATAATATATTAATAGTGTAAAATAATTTTACATTGTCATCCAATAAAAACGCATCATATAAAATGATACATTAATAGTATAATTTAATATTTAATATAGTTATAATTGATTGACAGTGTAAAATTATTTTAGTATATCCTTTATTCTCTTTAATCTATCATTTAGAAACCCAATTTCGTAATTAAAATTGACACCCCACCGCCACAAAAGTAATATAGTTTACCTACATTACATGGTGACAATAGATTTGCGTGATAAGATAAAAAAAAATCCCATTTTGGGGGAAATTCTTATTTATGATCTCTGCTTAATATCCCCTTCCACTCTTCTTTATCCAAGCCTTAGTTTTTACTATGGTTGGGAAACAATCAAACTTTTGGATGGGAAACATTGGTCTATCCAGAAGTTTTATCACCCCCAAAACCAGACTGTAGAAATCCAGTTTGGCTCAAATGGCTAACATCACCCCACATTTTTAAGCTCCATTTATCCTCAACATCTAAGTGAAAAACACTGACAGATGTGTTGAGAACCTTCCCAGCAAACCCTCCATCCGGGCAGGCCCGCTTGTATAGGGATCTGATGAATCCTCCATGAGTGACAATGGCTACTCTCTCCCCTACAATTAATACAGATGACATCATAAATTCTGAATGCATAATGATTTAAAATGTTATGCAGACACACATATATAAGTTAGCCACGCAAGTAAGGATGTTATGCAGGGCACTGAATTTATTGCAAGAACTATATATAAATAAGATCACAGATCACACCAGTGATTATTTGGTAAATGAAAGGCGGAAGGACTTTCGCATTAGCATTACCTATATGCTTCATGCCAATTCTAAGCAATGCAAATGTGGAGCGATCATAAAGTTGGACAAGACTTTCGCCGCCTCCCTGCACATAATTGTATATGGATCAAGGTTATGAAAATGCAAAATTATAGGCATAAAACATTCATTGTTATAATTATATAATTCATAAATCATACATCAGCTGAATAACTAACACCAAATCATATCATTAAACTTTTATGTACAAGCATGTACCCTCATTTCCATGGTAAGAAGCAGGTATTAACCTTGACTTTTATAATCCCAAACCTGTTCTTAGTCATAACTCATATGTGAGATCATGCCACAGGATCAGAAACACTTTAGAGTAGAAAGGTGATTCCAAGATACAAGCAAGACTACTTGACAATTCTTACTAAATAAAGCAAAGAAGACAACTAAAACATGGATTAACTAAACAAGTACCGAATCGAAATAAAGCTGGCTACATGAGATTTGGTAGAGTTGACTGACAGGTCATTCTCAGTGAAAAGTGGATGATCATCTTATATAACTAATGTCGAAATAATTATATTGAGATCTCTAACCATGAAATTACAGGATGAGCTTAACTGATCTAATTTCTAAATGATCTTATTTCATATTTTACTATGTTATATGATATGAGATCTGCTAGCTGCTTCTTCAGGTTCCATATGCAGCCACGTCTAATGACAATGATAAAATCTTTGGACGTGCCCATTGAGATTGAAGAAATTTCTATTTGGTAGCCTAATCCAACCTTATGTTCTTCACGTAACTACATTGTTACCAAGGAAATTTATGCTTACAAGTTAGTTTCTATGGTACTTACTGGTATTTCCATATCTTCGTTCTTAGACACAAATGCTTTGTATGCTTTGGGACTAGTTTTTGCCAGTTCACTATAAACCAGGCCTTGAAGATCCCCTAGGTGTCTTTCCCGTAGGTCAGCATCCTTGATAACCTAAAGTTTCAATTGAACGAAAATATTGTTCAGAAAAAGAAGAATAAGTAATAGACCACTTGTACTAAATATGAGTAGAGTTATGTACTTACGTTACTGAAAAAAATATTGCAAGCATAATTTTACTTAATCATGAACACAAAGAAAGAAAGTTCTAGAACTGATATGCTTATTATCTAATGACAACTGAATTAGTAATATGCAACATGTAGAAAAATGACTCTAGTTGCTAACCTCCACTCCTCCACATCTGGATGCAATTATCTGCGCTGTTTCAAAAGCTCTTTCAAGGTCGGAAGAATATATAACTGAGAGCTTAGATTCCCTGGAGAGTCTATCAGCCACCTCAATTGTAAATTTTACACTAATTAGAATCATGAAAGCATAAGTCAATAGAATAACTAGAAATTAGAAAACACATAAATACAACTTACTGCAGCTGCTTGCTGTCTTCCAGTTTCATTCAATTCAACATCTAACTGTCCCTGTTTACATGTATTAGTGAGATATGAACATAATCAGAACCCGAAAACTCGAAAGGAACAACAAATATAAGAGACAGAACAGAAGAAGAAGAAGAAAAAATGTTAATTCATTGAAAATGCTTTTGCGTACCGAAACAGATTAAATCCATATTTCTACCACAAGGTAAAAGAAATGCAAGTTTCAATTGATGCAATTCGATATTCTAAGCCGAAGCTGAAAAGATAAAAAAAGAAAACAGAAAAGTACCTGGATTTTACTGATAGCATTCCAAGCTGTTTCACCGTGACGCACCACAACAATCTCAGCGTAGTTTCGATGAGGAGAGCTGTAACAAGCATAACAATCCGATTTAGTTCGATAGACTGAGGAAATTTGAGTAAGAAATATAGATACAAATGATTTGATTTTAAAAAGAACCTGGAATTGGTGGAATCGTTTATGGAAAACTCGGCCATTGTGAGGGAGCGAGGTAGAGTGAAAGAGTGAAATGTGCGTGGTTTTAGTAATTGTGGGCGCAACGAAGAATATGAAAGAGGTGCGTAGGCGTTCTCTTCGTTGCTTCCTCTTAGTGCGCTTCTCAACTGAACGCTACTACTAAACACGCCGGCTATATCACAAGCTAGTGATGAATATTGAATCCATGATTGTGTGAGGGTTTATATAATGTTCTTTGGGTGTGGTCATTAATTCTAATTTTTTAGTCGGGATATCAGGTCCCTTAAAAATAGGTAAATCTTAGGAATTAGTCATTGTAACGGGCAGAGGTGCTCGGAACTAGTCGTTACGACGAGCATAAGAGTATTCACGGGCAAGTTGTTCTTGGATGGTTGTCCTCGTGTGAAAGACAGAGCGAGGACTAACCTGTTAACGCGGGTAGAAGTGTGATTTAGGGTGTCGTCAGTCTGGTTGGTTCTGGGGGACAACTAATCAAGCGTCCTCGGCTGAGGGGAAGGGGGGCAGAAGGTCTTTTGTCTGTCCCTGTGGATTGGGCCAAAGCTATTGGGGCATCTTAGATGTAGAAGTGGATTGGGTCATACTTAGCCATTGGCAAGACTAGAATAGGAGTCTCCAAGTCGTTGCTCATGGGCACAGGTGTAATGACTTAAGGTATGCTCAAATCGTCGAGGAGGACGTAGTACTGCTGGCGCAGGTTTTTCGTGTCAGGGACGTTTCATGGGAGTCTTGAGGTCGTGTTAAGATGACGAGTCTTTAAGTCGTCCGCTTAGCTCGAGCGCGGGGAGGAAGACAGACGACTGGATTTTGAAGAGTTGACTTTTCCCGCCTACCTCGAGTCATGTGTTACATTAACTGCGTAATGATGGATATGGCTTAGGGTTTAATGATGACCCCTAGCCTTCTAGTATAGTGCATGCGGGTGCATGTGACTGCGAGGCTCTCTATAAATAGGGAAAATCATAGTTCACTTGCACTTTTTTGCTTTCCACTCTTCTTCTCCGCTTTCAGTCTTCACAGTCTTTTGGTGTTCGTCGTCGTTGTGCCAGCATCTTCTGACCAGAGTTTAACTTCTTTGACCTTGTAAGTTCCTCATTTCTCTCCCTTGTAAGTTCATTTTGGATTTATTCTGCCTAAAATATATGTGGTTAGTTATGGAATTGTTGCTCTGGCAACTGTTGGCGTTTGACGGCGGTTGTGCCATTTCATACGATGTCGCCGTTGAGATAGTGAGGTTGAGTTGGACTTTGAGTGTTTTGTGGCCGTTTCGACACCGTGATTCTAGCAAAGGATAATCCTGTTGTCGGTGGGACTCATGAGTTTCCTGGTGAGCTCATGAGTTTTCCGATGAAGGTATTCGTTTTTCGATGAAGGTATGAAGTTTCTGATGAATCTTCAAACGAATTTCTGGGTAGTGTGCCGGGGAGACTCTCCTCATAAGGGTTTATGGATTTTCCTATCCGGGAGGGATCAGAATGAATCGGGGAAGATCTCCTCGCTTCTTTGTTTGTTGTTTGGGTGAGGGCTATGGTCGAGGATGTTGTTCTTGTGCCTTTTTGTGCCCTTTCACTTGACTAGCGGTGGAAGGATGGATTTGATTTAATCGTCGAATTCACTTTTGTTATCAGCTTTTCAGGTGAAAATGGCCACTGATTCCGAGGACGAAAATATGGTCGAGTAGATCGAAACTTCCGAGGAGGAGGAGGAGGAGACGACCTCGGATCCCCGTGAGTGGATCGCCTCGGAGCCCCAGGGATAGCCTCAATTTTTGCCTCTTTCCCCAAGGAGGTGTTTACAACAGTAGGAGACGAGAGGAGCTCGTCAGGTGTCGAGGAGGAGTGGAGAGTATTGTTCCCTAGAAAGGATGAGTGGATCTGTTAGCCATTCGATACTGATCGGTTTCCCATGTATGAGTATGTTTTCAAAGATATGGGGCTTCAGTTGTCTTTATCGGACCTTCAAGTGGCAGTTAATAAATCTATGAGGAATGTCAAGCTCTTTCATAATGTGCTCCAGGGCCTTCCAGCTCACAGTTGAAGGGTGAGAAAACACTTAGAGGGGGGGGGGGGTGAAAAATTTTTCCTTTTTCTTTTTCTTACTAGCTCAAAAATTATGGAAAGACACTGTTATTTTTATTATGGTTCGTTTGAACTCAAACTACTCCAGTCCATCGGCCAAGGTGATTTCACCTTTCTCAACAAGGACTTAATTCACTATAATCAAACAGATTACAATCACACAACCAAACTGTTGTGACTAACAATACAAAGCACAAGTAAACTTACAAGTGACTAACACCACTAAGACTCAAACTAGTCCTAGCCTTCTTGAGAAATCTGACCAAGCTTGGTCTCTCAAGGAACAAATATAAGAATTAAATCTTTACAATAGTGAAACAAATTGCTTCTTAGAAAGCTATATCACAAACTGTGATTTATCACTAAGATAAGTTTTGCTCTTGAGAAAATAAAAAAATAATTTGTGAGCAGTAGAATAATTTTCACGTAAGATGTTTCTTTGGTTTGGTGAGTAGTTGGCTTGCAATAAATGATATTATATTTATAGCATGAGGAAAACGACTGTTACTGCCTTCAAAAGTGAGGAGCAATTAATGTTTGCGTGTTAGCTTGCATTTTGTTTCTTTCAATGAACTAGCATAGAGACACTTGAGTGCTTTAGCCGTCTTTGCATTAAATGAACAAACGGCACTGTCAGAGCTTGTTTCCTGAAACTTGACAAGACTATTTGCTTCTTTAATCTTTCATAACTTGCTTCAGATCTTGCTTCAGAATTTGCTTGCAAATAACTTTTCATCAGAGCTTGCTTGCAAAATACTTCTGAACAGAGTTTGCATGGAAACTTGCTAAGATTAGAGGATGCTTTAAATTTCTTCTTATTAGAGTTAGTGTCAGAACTTACGCTAAATAAATAGTTCTTTCATCAAAGAACTTCTTCATTTTTATTCAGCTCAGCACGTAAAACGATTTTGACCTTAGAAAATACTTCAGTCTTAACATTATCTGAAACAAAGAAATATGATCATCAGAGTATCAATTATACAAAATATATTTTATTGTTATCATCAAAACTCTGAGATATGATTAGAACCAAACTTGCACTTTTTCGCTTTCCACTCTTCTTCTCTGCTTTTAGTCTTCACAGTCTTTCGGTGTTCGTCGTCGTTGTACCAGCATCTTTCGACCAGAGTTTAACTTCTTTGACCTTGTAAGTTCCTCATTTCTCTCCCTTGTAAGTTCATTTTAGCTTTATTCTGCCTAAAATACATGTGGTTAGTTATGGAATTGTTGCTCTGGTAACTGTTGGCGTTTGACGGCAGTTGTGCCGTTTCATACGCTGTCACCGTTGAGAGAGTGAGGTTGAGCTAGACTTTGAGTGTTTTATGGTCGTTTCGACACCGTGATTCTAGCAAAGGATAAGCTCGTTGTCGGTGGGACTCATGAGTTTCCTGGTGAACTCATGAGTTTTCCGATGAAGGTATTCATTTTTCGATGAAGGTATGAAGTTTCTGATGAATCTTCAAACGAATTTCTGGGTAGTGTGCTGGGGAGACTCTCCTCATAAGGGTTTATGGATTTTCCTGTCGGGAAGGGATCAGAATGAATCGTGGAAGATCTCCTCGCCTCTTTGTTTGTTGTTTGGGTGAGGGCTATGGTCGAGGATGTTGTTCTTGTGCCTTTTTGTGCCCTTTCACTTGACTAGTGGTGGAAGGATGGATTTGATTTGATCGTCGAATTCACTTTTGTCATCAGATTTTCAGGTGAAAATGGCCACTGATTTCGAGGACAAAAATATGGTCGAGCAGATTGAAACTTCCGAGGAGGAGGAGGAGGAGATGACCTCGGATCCCCGTGATTGGATCGCCTCGGAGCCCCGGGGATAGCCTCGCTTTTTGCCTCTTTCCCCAAGGAGGCGTTTACAACAGTGGGAGACGAGAGGAGCTCGTCAGGTGCCGAGGAGGAGTGGAGGGTATTTTTCCCTAGAAAGGATGAGTGGATCTGTTCGCCATTCGACACTGATCAGTTTCCCATGTATGAGTATGTTTTCAAAGATATGGGGCTTCAGTTGTCTTTATCGGATCTTCAAGTGGCGGTTAATAAATCTATGAGGAATGCCAAGATCTTGCATAATGTGCTCCAGGGCCTTCCAGCTCATAGTGTCATAAGATTTTTGCATATCTAATTGAATCATACACCTAAGAGGCCCCCATTTCCTACTATACCCCTTTATTGATTCATATGCAAGTAAAATGTGATTATGAATTTGTTGGCCAGGAATAAAGGCAGCCTAGTTAGGACTAATGATGCTCCCTATAACTTACCCAATCTAGCAGTCGTGATCCTAGAGATAATTTTGTAGGTTATTATACAAACAGAGGTAGGCCTGAAGTCTTTAACAAATGTAATCGACTCTGTTTTAGGGATAAGGGATACCAAAGTACAGTTAAAGGCTTTGTACAACTTACCTCTATCAAAGAAATCATTAATAGTTGCTTTCAAGTCAACTATGATAATGTCCCTACTAGACTTGAAAAATCTGGCAGTGAAACCATTTAACCCAGGGGCAGAGATATCCTCAATACATTTAAGAGCATCAAGCATCTATTCATCAGTAATAGGGGTCACGAGTAACTCTTTCTGCATGTTTTGAAGTTGAGGGCCTTTTCTCACAGCCTTGATATCAATATAGTCCAAATCATCATCTCTTTTACCCATAAGGCACCCATAGAAGTTTAAAATTTCAGCTTCAATATGATCTTGAGAGGTCAAGTAGGAACCATCTTCTTTCTGCAGCATGATAAGGGCCTTTTTGTTCTGCTTTGATTTAACTGTAGCATGGAAAAAGGCATTATTTCCATCACCATCTTTCAACCACTTTATCTTGGCTCTTTGTCTTAGGATAGAATCTTCAATCGCATTTCACTGAAGTAACTCATCAGTATAATTTTTAACATTCAAATTTTTTTCACTATTCATTATGTCAG